GACAGGGTTGAACTCGGTAATTAAGGACTACCATTACCCGTTACCGAGTCCGGAGGAGATTTTAACAAGCTAAATGGTGGAGTTATATTTTCAAAAATCGACTTATCAGATGCCTATCTCCAAATTCCCGTCGAAGAGGAATGTTCGAAGTTACTAGGGATAAACACGCATAGAGGGTTATTCAAGTACAACAGGCTTCCTTTTGGTATTAAAGTGGCACCAGCCATTTTTCAACAAGCTATGGACGTCATGTTGAATGATTTAGATTTTGCGTGCGCCTACTTAGACGACATCATAGTAAGGAGCGAAACCGTCGACGAACATCGAGAGCATCTCATCAAGTATTTAAAAAGATTCAGGACTTTGGTTTTAAAGTCAAAGAGTCAAAGTGCGAATTTGGTTTGGAGGAAATTAAGTATTTAGGTCACATAATCAACAAAAAGGGCAGATTTCCAGATCCGGAAGGTCCATTGCGATTAAAGACATGCCGACGCCCACTAATGTGGCGATGCTACAGAGTTTTCTGGGGCTCACAAATTATTATCAAGCGTTCATTAAAGGAATGTACAATCTAAGAGCTCCGTTGAATGAACTGCTAAAAAAGACAAGGCATAGGAATGGACGGTAGAATGTCAGAAAGCCTTTGATGAAATAAAGAAAATGCTTACGTCCGACCTCTTTTAACCCATTACAATCCAAAACTGGATATTGTAGTGGCAAGTGACGCTAGTTCATACAGGATAGGAGCGTGTATTCAACACATAATGCCAGATGGTTCTAGAAAACCAATTGCATGCTTCGAGAACTTTACTCCCAGGAGAAAGAAGTTACTCACAAATCGAAAAAGAGGCGTTGAGTATCATTTTTGCCATAACAAAATTTCACAGATACATCCACGGCAGACATTTTATGCTTGAAACGGATCATAAACCACTGATCACTATTTTTGGTTCAAAGAAAAGGTTAGCCGTTTATACGGCAAATCGTCTGTTGAGATGGGGAACCATTCTTCTCAATTATGATTTTCACATAAAGCACCTATCATCCAATAATATAATTCATGCGGATAGTTTATCAAGACTCGTACCGAGTCAAGAAGAAAGATTCGAAGAATCACTTATTGCAAATATCAGAGCAGATTATGAGGTGAAAAGCATGGTAAACAACATTGTAAGAGAGCTACCGGTTACATTAAAGGAAATTAAAAAAGAAGCTGAAAGTGATGATTTCATTTTAGAAATAAAAAGCAAAATGGTAGCAAATGACCAAAAAGTGCAGGAGATTTATTCAATAGGTGAAGGAGTTTTATTATATGATGAGAGAGTAGTAGTACCAAAAAAGTTGCAGAAAAGAATACTACGGGACTTTCATATGGGTCACCCGGGGGTTAATAGAACAAAAAGCTTAATGCGAAGCTTTGTATATTGGAAAGGAATGGATGTGGATATCGCAAACATGGTTCATCGATGTAAAGGGTGTGCGTTAGCAGCTAAGGCACCACCACCTATAGTACACAAAACCATGGCCCAAGACGGATCATCCGTGGACAAGATTACACATTGATTTCCTTTGGGTCCAGTAGAAGATTATTACTACTTAATAGTGGTAGATAGTTTTACAAAATGGCCGGAAGTACTACGCTGCAAAAAGCCTACGTCCAATACCACAACAACTTTCTTGCATGAACTATTTGCACAATGGTACACAATTCACTTCTGAAGAATTTAAGGAATTTTGTGAGTTATATCAAATTAACCACATAACGACGCCGCCGTATCATCCGAGGTCCAATGGACTCGCAGAAAGATTTGTCGATACTTTAAAGCGCGCTCTGAAGAAAGCCTCAGGAGTTCCAACGGAAAAGGCGCTTCAGCAATTCCTACAAGTATACAGAATCACGCCAAATCAGAGAACACACTCAAACATGGCACCAGCTGAACTAATGTTCGCTAGGAAAGTTAAGTCAGTGTTTGACAAACTTTTGCCAGGAAAAAATAGAGTAAAGAATACTATGTACACAGCGAGAAAAAGATACACCTCTGGAGACAAGGTGTTTTTCAAGTGCTACAAAAACAACGTTGAGTTCTGGGAGCGAGGCATAGTGGACAAGAGAATCGGTGACCTGGTTTACATAATTAAAGGGCCGAAGAATACTCATAAAAGGCACCAGAATCAACTTAAAAATGTTACATTATAGAGCATGAAGAGAGTATACCGGATGAGGAGGAAGATCCCATTGAGGTAATGTATGATATGTTTCAGGTAGAACCTCCACAGAATACTCCTGAACCAAGAAGATCCGGTAGGAAACGGAAGTTCACGGACCCATTGGACGTGAATCCAAAACGGAAAAAATATTAAAATTAAGCAGATGGACATATGCATATGAAGTATGCAAATGGATCTACAAAGAAATAGCCATAATCATCAACCCATATAGGAAGCCAGTTTGAAATCCAAAAAGGGATTCCAAGGCTTGGGAGGGGGGTGTTGTGGTAGGATCCACCTAATTTGCATAGTGGAGTACCGACGATATAAATATGGTTGGTACCGGGAAGAGAGGGAGGAATCAAGAGATTCAACTAGAGACTCTGCCCGACTGCGACTCAGTCAACACATTCTCCAGGAACGGTCTTACCAGGAATATACAAAAGACTATATGTAAATATTGTGGACACTTTCTTGTTTCAATACATTTTGTTCTAAGTACATTTTGTGTTGCATTATTATTCCTTGTATTAGTCAAGTTTCAACAATAATAATAATAAAATACACTATAATAATATTAAAATACACAAAAATAATAATAATAATAATAAATACACTATAATAATAATAAAATACACTATAATAATAATGATAATAATAATAATAAAATGTACTATAATAATAATAATAATATAACACCACAATAATGATAATAATAAAATACGCTATAACAATAATAATAAAAAAAACACACCAATTGTAATGATAATAAGATACAGTATAATAATAAAAAATATACTATAATAATAATAATAAAATACACTACAATAATAATAATAAAAAATACGCAATGTTAATAATGAAATACACTATAATAATAATAATAATAAAATGCACCAGAATAATAATAAAATACACTATAATAATAATGATAATAAAATAGACTATAAGAATAATAATTTACACTATAATAATATTAATAATAATAAAATACACTACAATAATAATAATAATAACAGTATCATATACTATAATAATAATAAAATACATCATAATAATAAAAAATAATAATAATAAAATACACTCTAATCATAATAATAATATACTCTATGATAATAAAATACACTACAATAATAATAATAATAATAATAAAATACACCATAATAATAATAAAACACACTTCAATAATAATAATAAAATATACAACAATAATAATAATAAATGTCACTATAATAATAATAATAACAATAAAATACACTATATTAATAATAGTAATAAAATACAGTATAATAATAATAAAATACACTATAATAATAATAAAATACAGTATAATAATAATAATAAAATACAGTATAATAATAATAAAATATACTATAACAATATTAATAAAATACACCACAATAATAATAATAATAAAATACACTATAATAATAATAAAATACACTACAATAATAATAATAATAATAATAATAATAATAATAATAATAAAAAATAAACACAGAATAATAATAATGAAATCCTATCTACAGTAAAGTTATTAAGCACTGCTCCGTAGCGATGTTCTTACATATCACTTTTCTCATTTCTCGTAAGTTCTTAACGACGATTGGCTCTAAAATAAGATTAATTCAATGATTGTTTTCTGTTCTATCTGAAATGTCTCTTTAGGACCTGTGTGGTCATGGCTTTCCACAGTAATATTCCTTATTCTATTGTCCAGCTTACTCTTTATGATCAAAAGTGGGTTGATATTTTCGATTCTGTTTGACCAATAATTGGTTTTATCTGCTACTCTGATGTCTACTGTGGTATCGGATTTACAGAATATCAAAAGTGCTGAGTGCTTCAGAGGGTTGACAGAGAAGGTATATTCATAACCAACTGGTGTACAATCGGGCCACGAAGGATTTCATTGTCTGCGCCGACATATAAGCAGGAAGTCAATCTTTACAAACACTAGACAATCGAATGGGAAGAAATTATTTAAACAACGAATTCATGAGATATTTTGGTGACGGTTATAGTCTCTTGCACCTTCGAAGAAAGCTCCTGAAAAGCACATACCGTCCACAATGCAATTTAATTTGAGGGACGCCAGAAGTGGATTCGGAAAGGGATTCTGAATTAATACTCGCATGAGAAGTACCAAAACTTTAAGGAACATCGGCGAGATACAAATTTTGTCCCTCGACTCTTCACGCTCGATGAGGTATAGAAGATGCGCTGCGCAGGGTTTCAAGTTGATAATTCCAAATAGAATGACAACCGAATTAAATTACAAAGGAATTGTGTTTTTTTTTTCTAATCTTTGTCTGGTAACTTTCTAATGCCATTTTATATGTGACACAACGGGATATGGTTGGCATCAGGACACTCGCATAGCAAAATAAACAGTAAATTCTTTTATCCGTGTTTCTGGTGTTTGATGACAAGCAGCACAACCTAAAAGTAAAATCTTTAAAGCACACAACATGTTATTCTGGACAGATAATTGAAAACTTTTGGGATCAAGTGCCACTTGGCCTGAAGTTAAGTAATTCCGTTCATAGGCAGAATTCCAATTAGAATTATCAGTGACGAGCTGCCTGCAAAGTGTGGTGTCCGATATCACATACGAACCAAGTGTTAGGAAATGACAAAAGAGAAGGTTTAAGCAACAAAAAAAAAAGGAAGAATTCTAGCTGGCCGAAGGTAATATCTGGTACGTTAGTCTGTTGTGAGAGAAGAAAAAAGTAGCAACTATAATGTAACAAATGTCACATAGCTGTTGGAAGCAAATATCAAATACTTACTGAGTATCCACCCTTTTTTCATTCCGATTTCAAAACATCTTTTTAAACGGCAGCTGGCGCAGAATTTCCGGGTGTGGGGATCCAATCGACACTTTCCTTCAAACGTGCAGTTAAATACCTGCAAAAAAAAAATAGTAATTTCACCGTAGAATGGCAACAAGTTTTCAATTAAATTTACTCGACAAATTCTCAAGTACATTTATAGGATTTAATTATAGTACCAATATACGCCAGTCGATGAACCAATGATTTAAGCTCAAATTAAGAATGCGTGATGAGCCAGAAAGCTAAAGGTGGTGTCCTAATAAAATCTTTGTGGACAAGACAACGAGAAATCCCAATACTAGTAGTCTCAATGATTTTCATTGTTATTCAGATTGTTAATATAAGATGAGGCAATAAAGATATTAATTCTACAGAAGGATGCTTAGAATAGCGTAGTCTGAACATTTAAGTATTCACAAGACATATTGATGGAAAGAAGCAAACAGTGAGTAAACTACTTAGTGAGATTTTCTGAATGAAAGTAGTGGAGAGCCAAGATCAACCTAGCTAACGAACTTTTGTAAATTGATGGTAGAACAGGGATTGGAAATGATAGTGAAAAATAAAAATTAAGAGCTACAAAAGATAGGATGTTGTGGAGAGCCGTAAACGACTGTAGGTGTGCTGCGAACATATTTAAAGGTCACTAATTAAATTATTTTCCAAAGGTGGACAAAGTACAACACGTGTACAAATCAAAATTAAAACTCGTTTATATTAATTATACAAGTATATAATAAATAAACACACACACACACACACACACACATATATATATATATATATATATATATATATATATATATAATAAAAAACACATGAATTTCTGGAATAAACAATATAAAAAACCAAAGAAAATCACGGCGAGAATCCTTGGAAGAAGATTTAAGAGTATGCCAGTCCAAAATTCGAACTTGCAAAGATGTTTTTTAAAAAATTAAAGTTCAGATAATGTTGTGAGAGTAGTTTTCACAGTGGAGGCTTGTATTTCAATAAGTCGTCCTAAATTAGGTTCGACGTAAAAAACGTTAGGAACTTGAAATAAGAGTTAATGACGCAGCAATCTAGTTGTAATGGTTGATACTTCAATGTCCTATATCGACTGACTCGCACAACACCACTGAGCCCAACTGGCGACCCTACTACTACTACTACTACTTATTATGTGTGGGAGAGTCTATTAATAATAGAATAGGTACGTCAGGTATGACAGATATCTCATTAAACGTTAAATTATTATGAGTATTCTCTGTTTTCATCGTCATAATTTAAGTGTGCTGCGAAAGTTTCATTCTAGGTTCATGAGATTAAAAAAAAGTTGAAAAATATTGATCTAGAGCAGGCCTGGGTAACCTTTTTTCAAACAGTGGGTCACATGATCTGTGGCTCATCACAAAGCGGACCGCACTACTAAAATGATTCAAGGCAATTTTTCTGACTAGGTAGCGCAACTATTTTCACTACAGAAGACCATTGACGTAAGAATATACTTTAGAAATCAGGAAAAGGTGGCTTTGTTTTTCTTTGGAGAAAAGATTTTTCTAGAATTAAAAAATTGAAGTATTGGTATAATATCATCATCGATGACAGTATGATTGACACATGTCGCTGTGTGTTATTAATTTCTAATTTATTAATTTGAAAATAAAAAAGCATATGTCTTCTTGAAGAATAAAATTATCATGAACACTTCCAGTTTCAAAAGCAAAAGATGTTTACAAGCATGATCTCCTTTAATGAAAATCGACAATGGTTTAAAATGATGTAAACATTACTTTCACAGAAAGTTTACAAAATTCAAGACATTGTACTTAATGATTGTTTATGGATATGGTTATGTGTCAGAGAGTGTGTGGGTGAAAAAGTGAGAAAGAAACAAAAAAAAAATTAAGAAATGTTATTTTTCTTATGAAATTAGGCGTACTATTCAGGAAGACCAAACGGGCCGCATGTGGCCCGGGGGACAGATGTTTTCCCATGACTGATCTAAAGCATGGTCGTAGATTATTTAAATGGGAATAATGTCGGCTTGGAATTGAATTTAAATCTCACATTGTTGAGACTTATGATTTATTATTCCCCTTGGGGTGCACAAATTTTCTCGTGGGTCGGGCAAAAATGTACAACACTTTAGGACATGGCGATTATAGCTCTACACCATTTCCTATCCTTTGTAGCTCATAAGAATGTTTGTCTTTTTACTGTCCCTCCCATTTACTCTTCTACCATCAGTTTTCACAACCTCGTTGTTTCCATCTGTCACCCTTGTTTTCAATATGTTTCTCTGTCCTACTTGCTTGTTAGTGTCAAATTTACTAAGCTTTCTTTCCTCAACATATATCGTAGATATGTTAACTATTTCTTACAGATTCTAATCATAAGTTTCCTTTTGTTTCCATTTTCCTACTCGCCGCTAACCTGATCTGTCCATTGTATTCTCAGCATCCTTTTCTTTCTTGCCTCAATTGTTCAGCATTCATTGCCATATAAAAGAATTGAAATTGCACAGGACTTAATCACTTTTGTCTTTGTTTCTAGCAACAATTTCCTGTTTCTTAATACTATACTTAGTTTTTGGATAACATCTTTTGCTCTTCTAATGTGCCTTCTGATTTCGGTGTCACCACTTCTGTATGTGGAGCTGACCTTCTAGAAGAGAACCTTACAGAAAATTGTTTCATGGGAAGAAGATGTAGTTGCTGAATTTTCTAAAATCTTTTCATTGCAGTATTAATGGAATCGTGTTCACTTTTGAAAAATAACTTTTATTTCAGGGATTTTGCCAATACTTAGAACATGGCCACGATCACGTTAGAAAAATTATTAACTCCTCTCTTGTCCCCTAACATATGGATAAAATAAAAGGTGAAACTGGGTTTTCTAGCTTTGGTTGGGTTACACGTGGGGATCTGCCAACCCGAAAAGAATGCACAGTAACTGATGGCACACCAGCTCTATCCTATTAAGTTAAATATCGATTCAGTAAACGTTATCTTACAGCAAAACGCGATTAAAAATAGACACAATATTTAATCTTCCATGAAATCAATGTTTGGAAAATTTTGATCAGATGATTATGTTGCGCCAATCTTCCCTGAAAAATATTAAAAAATTAAATCTGATTCGATTCTGAATCCATATTAGATTGGACAAAGGAAAATATTCTATTATTTCAGACCCAAGTAGACTGATTTTCTAAGTTTTTTGGGGTTTTTTTTATAAGAGTTTTAAGAGAAACTGGTTTCTGCATTTGATTCTATAAGGCAATCATTTAAAAATACATGTAAAAGTAACAATATTTACCCTGCAAATATTCACACTGTTTCTTTTTTAATAATCACTTATAAAATTAGCAAATTTTATAATTTAAAGGTTCTAATTATTTTTCATCCGCGTAGAAAATCAACATTAAAAAAGTCTGATTTTTACTTAACTTCAACATTGGAGAGAAATATCCAACTACTTCGACCATGTGTTTGTTCCTTTTTTAATATTCTTGACAATTCCCTAATCGTATGGTGACTTTAGACTGATATAAATATCCTCACTTCTTAATTTTTCTTTCGGGAAAGTATGATACGTATTAGGATCTAAGTGACCAAACGGGAATATTTGTGAAAAGCCTGTGTCACCAATTTTGCATTTTGCTGTTTGAAACTTTTGGAGGATAATTTTAAAATATGATATGCTAACCTGGACTATTTTATTTTATTTTATTTTACCAATGTTTACTTAATACAAGGATCAAAAGCCACTCAAGTCGAGTTACTGAATTAGGCGTGTTCAGATTCACGGAATCGGAGAGCCGAGTTCGAATTCCAGTCAAATCCATTACATTCACTTACGTGCTAATACCCTTGAGAAAGGTATGAATCTCCCCCAAGCTATGGATAAATAGCATGACAGACCAGCTTCTCTAGCCTACTGTAGGAAAAAATTCGCCTCGTCAGTCATGTATGGAAAGATACATGATCGCCTAAGCGTGTATCACGTATGGCACATAACTAACTGCATATCAATGTACTAATAGGTCGAAGGAAATGAAGATGTTGAGGATAAGGAGGATAAATAACAATCGAACACCGACTTGAAAACCGTTAACATTATTGTCTCCAAATAAATATCGACACCGGAATCTGTTCTACAAAATAACAATTCTTGGGAAAAAGCTGAGATCCTTCTTCGTTACGGAATACGAGGGAAATGAGGGGGATTCAACTCCGTGGAAGTAGCATGGGGTGTTCTAGATGTAAAGGTCTGAACTGGTGGAACTAAATAATGGAGCGCTCATCTGAACATTTGCTACGGAGATAGTGACAGAGTGGTGACAGGTTTGTGACGCTGCGTCTGTGGGAACGAACAAACAGGTTAGAGAACAGCCCCCTCCCACATACCGACACCAGAAGACAGTGTAAACGATTTTGATCTTTATCAAGATTTGAAAAGGAAGATCGCGCAGTGTGTGCCAATATGTAGCAGCAGCCCTCCATTATGAGAACAAATCATCTGAAACTCAGTTCATTTTTTTAAAAAATCATTTGTTTTTTATCAACAAAATAAACCAAAAGTTTTTAACTTTTACTTCCAACGCATTTTGGAGCATTGTCAGTGCTTTTCGAGCTTTTTTTTTTTTTTTTGGTTATGTTTTTTTAAAATAAGGTTAAACTTGTACAAGGCCCGGGAGACATTCAAGACATAGGGTTAAGTTAAGGGGAGGTTTATACGGATGAGAGGGAACATAACGGTTAAACTCTAGACTTAAACAGGTTAACATTGTAGTAATCGGGGTAACATCTTCTTGGGAGTCTGTTCCAAGGAGCGGTGGTTCGCAGCAAGAAGTTGTTCCAGTGGAAGATACTCCTCACCGATGGAATACAGAAGAAGTATAGATGGTTTGCTACAATGTATGTGGCATGGCGGTTCCTAGCCGTCAAGATTAGACCTGGCGGAACCAAGGAATATGGCTCGTCTGAGCACTTTGCGCGGAAGTATTCTCACATAGAACTGAATTCGTTAACAGCAACCCACACATTTACTCAAGATCTGTGGACTCCACTTGTGTGGGTTTAGCATCGAGTTAGTTTTGTTATGGAATGTGGTTGCTAGCGCTCTGCTGAACTAATTTTGAATTCAATGTACCCGCCCCCCTGTAGTGGACAAATAGTTCAATATAAAGGGAATAAAATCCTTTGCAGGATAAAGTAAAAAAACAAACTGATGATTTGACTTGTTATGCTGAAAACATGTAAATGACCGAAGCAGTTGGCAACAAGAATGTCATAAAGCTGAACGTTATCCATAACAAATAAGACAGTAGGGAAGCCATGTTGACTATTTTGTCGCCATGAAATCTCTCAAAGCAATGAAGGTAACTTGGTGATACACATGGGGAAGGGATAGGACTCTACAAGTAAACCCCATGGCGAGGAAATAACAAAAAATGGAACTTCTACAATCTAATATGTGAAAGGTTTTATTGCGTTATATGGTACTGGTCAGAGTTATCTCCTCGTAAATTTTGAAACCACCACTTAGGGGAGCTATCAATTTTCATTTTCAGCGGACATTACAACAATGTAATCTCTCGTGAAAATGGCATTTTGTTTAGAGGGGGGCTATGCGTTTCCTTTGGGAAACGCCATGAAACATACATACATACATACATACATACATACATACATACATACACACGCACGTGAACATTCACTGACGCATACTTTGACCACAAACTTTCTATGTTCATTCATACATACTCATTACCGTCTTGTAACCTTTATTGTTTGTTAATACACATATACCTGTTTGCACACACACACACACACACACACACACACACACAACACACACACACACATACACAGACACATACACACACACACACATATATATATATATATATATATATACCGGTCTTTGTTGTTTTCTTCACATTTTCTTTTGGTTTGACTCATTCTGAGTCTGCCATATTTGTTGTGGGCCCTATTTGAGGAGACGACACGTGTTCATCTCATAACGCATACAACCACATGGCCCGCTACAGTACCATGCGCAAGGACATAATCTAACCTGACCTAATATCGAACGCCCACGTTGAATTGCCCACCCCCGACCAAGGATCTACAATTTATCAAAAGCTGAGAAGAGAAGTGTTTTTCTACTTTTCCCAAGTGCAACAGTTCAAATTGAAAATCAACTGAATTATGTCAGCAGATTTCATTGCTAAATATTCAACCATCCGCAGCTCCATAGATTAATTGGTAGGAGAGACAAAATAATGGAGGAAAGTATCTAACCTTCTTCTTGAGGGCATTCCTTCTGAAGAAAGCTTTACATGATTCGCAGGTGATAGCATCGAAGTTGTAGCCGAGGGCAACATCATTACAAACACGGCAGATCAGTTTGGTTCCATCTTTCGGTTTGGGCCGCCTCTTCTGCTCCTTCTTTACGTGTCTCTCGTTCTAGGGATTAAAGAAAAAAAAACAATAAAATATCACATTATCATCGGACAAATATCATACATATCGGTTTTTGGATGTCCAAGCATTTATGATAGAGCGGGAGAAAAAGTTTCCTGTGAGACGTTTTGTCCTTAGAATCTCTTCGGATATTTAAATTAATTTAATTAGACATGCGCATGAATGAGAGAGGGACACTGAAATTTTAAATTTAATTTTCTTTTTTTTTTAAATATTTGTGTTGTGTATATAGTTTGGTCAATTTTATTTAGTTTCTTTTTCTTTTCTTTGTCATAGATTTTACATAAACTGTTCTGAATATATATATATATATATATATATATATATATATATATATATATATATATATATTTCAGAACAACTTTGAGGAAAATTTATGTATATAATTTAACGGCGAAACAAAAGTGCCGAAAAAAGTTTCTGTCGTTGAAAAAAAGGCCAGACGACATGTGTTGAACGAATGTCATCATTCGTTTGAAAAGGCACCCCTACCCTACCTTGACTCAACTTCTTTTCGAAAGTAACTAATATGTTGATACAATAGTTGTCAGAGAAAAAGAATACCCTAACGCCCCTTGTTAAAATCATTGGATTTCTCCGCATCCATAGAAACTAATATTATGAATGTATGTGCTCAGTAAATTTCAAAATAAGTTATTCCAAAATTCGCTTGATAATAAAACAGAACAAGGACTTTAATTTAATTTAATTCTGTAATTGAATTTGAGGTGTTTAGCTTCTATTTTTGAAACATGGTAATTCCTGTTTAGCGATGGAACCATATTTTTAAATAAGTAAATTTATAATATATATATATATATATATATATATATATATATATATATATATATATATATATATATATATAGTGTTTTGAGTTACTATCGATGTGAGTAGACAGTGTGTTTTTATAGGCATTAGTTTGTTTTCCGTTATCCTGTATCAAAATGCACCTCACGTAGCATGCTACTTAGCATAACAATCTCTTTTCGTAAACCAATTTTCAGTTTAAGTTTTGTTCAAAGTACCTTTGATTGTTGCGCCAGACCAAGCTAAGATTTTTAATCCTGATTGTTCACTAGTAGCATGTTTATTTGCAGGCTTTGCTTATCGAATATGCGAAGATTATTTTAAAAAGAACAAAAGTTGTTAATTAAAAGATTGTCGAAACACAATTTTCTCGACCTCATGGCCATTTTATTTCACTTTATGCTAAGCTAAATGAAGTAAATCCTACAAAATTACTTTCTTATTTTCTTACCATTTAAACTATTTGCATACATATTGGGAATATCTACTGTAGATCTGCGGTTGGTAAGCAAATCTCCAATACCAGTGACTATTTAGGTCCACCAATAAATCAGTCTTGTGTGATTAAATAACATGCAACTCTGTGGCGCAGTTTCGAGTTACTTTACGATTATTATAGCTAGTTCAATCATTAGCAAGTGTTCAATATTTGCGATCTTGTACCAAACTAATTCCTATAAAAAACACACTGTCTACTCATATCGATAGTAACTCAAAATGCTCAATAGCACAGCAGGCTCTCACGTTAATATAAAACCTAAACCATGCCAACATTGAAGACATGGACATGTTTTCATGTATCTACATTATTAGACGAGTCCACTACATAGAGATGTGCAGTTCGACCATTTGGAACATAATCGCCTTTCTCTACGTGTTATAACCTTCTTGGGACGTAGCAGAATAGAATTTAATGTGAAATTTAATAAAACTGACAGATGCATGTGTACATATATAAACACATTCATAGTGCAGATGATTCGGAAAGATTTGAATGAGTCTAATGGTGATTACGAAGTAACAGCAGCTCGGAAATCTCACTCTGATCGTTCTGATAAGAAAAGAACTCCTGAATTTGTAGGTGAGGGCCTCAGACTCAACACGAAAGCCAACATCAAGTGCCTTCAGGAAGTAGAGCTAACCTGGTTCAAGAGAGTGGTTGTTGGAAAACTTTATGTCTGGAAACAAGACTCTGCCCTATGCCATACAAGCAGCAGAACCCAGTCAGGCAATTTCTGCAACAACTTACATCTGGCCACTTAACTTCCCAAAGATGAACAGAAGGCAAGGATTATGGCAGCATTCACCAACTTAAACAAGCAGACCATCCAGAATATTCTGAGTCCGTGTTTGAAGACAATGGCGATTTTACTAAATTAATTTACTCTTTAGTATTTCAGGATATTTTTGGGTAATGTTGGTAAATATATTAGTTAAAATGAGATGTCAGTGATATTCTAATTTTTGCATCGCAGCCTACATATATATATATATATATATATATATATATATATATATATATATATTTGGTTCGATAGATGTGAGTTTGTGACCCTGGGTTTCACGCTTTACCGATCGTCAGACAAACTGATTAATGTTTTAAAAAATTTGGGTTTATGTAGATTGCGTGTATTGGTGTTATTGTGGAAGTGGTAGGGGAAATTTCGTCGTTTTGCTATTCATCGTACTAACGCAAACATCGATGTATGCAGACACATACATACTTGGTCGTCCGTCGGGACTCATATATATAAACATATGTGAGCAGTTTCGGCTATGACATATGTATGTATACGGGTGGTGTTATGTCTATACATACGCATTTGTATGTTGGAATGTTGAAATTTAAACATTGGAAGTGTGGCAGAAATGTCTCGTTAATGTCATATTATGTATTTTTCCGCTGAAAAATATTTCCTCGCATGTATGTATATAGGTGGAGCCTCTCCCAAAATCTAAGTGACCCTAACCTGACAGCTGTTCTATGCTCTGACCAAGCATAGCTCCTTGGGGGATTAACTTGCTTGTCCTATTAAATACCTACAAAACCATACTGGTAACGTTTCACCGATCAGAAACAGGATTTTTCTCCAGTCATAATGAATCTTTGTAATCTCAATGAGGCTCCTTGCGTTGAAAGTCTATTGGCGCACAAAGCTCACTCGAGAAGCCAAATGGAACAAAATAGACATCGCTGAAAAAATGGTCGGTTGCTTGTAGCAGACTAAATATGGAGTGCTGCTGCCATATCTGGTCTGGAGCTATCCAGTTAAATCTTTACAGCCTTTACAGAGTTCCAGATAATCTACGCATCCTTGTGGGTGATGAATTATCATCTATTTTGCATCCCCTATTCCAATTACAGAACGACGCAAGCCTCCTTCTGTTAGATTCACGATTTTAATAAAAAATATTCTTACGAGCTACATTCCTTAGTTCCACCAGCTAAGACCTGCAATGGTACGGAAACGGTTTCGAATCAGTCTCATTCCTTTTGTATTTGTAAGACGGAAATTCTATTCGGGCAGTTTCTTCCCAAGAACCGCAACTTTGTATTAAAGACTTCTTAATTTCTCTTCTTGCGATCAAAAATCTTCTCCCAGCAACTCCCTACCTTGAATTCATCTTTTACCTTGAATCTAGTGAACAATTATATATATATATATATATATATATATATATATATATATATATATATGTGTGTGTGTGTATGTGCGTGTGTATGTGTGTTAAAGGGTAGATCCCTGATGTCTGATCTTGGTTTAACGGTTTTCCAATTTTACATAGATCATCTACCTAAAATATACTCCAGTAATTTGTGGGTATCTATGCTGGTGGTACAACGAAAACAAAACCTAGCGGATCAAAGCTAAACTGGCTCATCACATTCAATGCCTGAAAAAACAAACTAGTGACATTCCATCATCGCCGATTAGACCCAGAACATTCCCCAGTCGCGATGAACGGTGGTCTTCTCAGGGAGCCCCATGCCTTGAACGCTTATTGGGACTTAAACTCAGCCAAGACCTCAAGTGGAACTCGAAAATGCGATCCATTGTTAAAGATGCTGGAAAAATGGTCGGTTCCCTGTACCACTGCAGCAAGTACCTGACTCCTCATGTTATCGTCTAGCTTTACAAGAGCCAGATCAGGCGAAAAATGAATTATTGTTGTCATATATGTGCAGGAGCGGCGCAGTCTTTGTCTTTCACTCTCGATAGAGTCCAAAGAGTCACCATGTCCTTGTGTTTGACGACTTATTTTCCTACCTTACAACTCCTTTCCTGCAATCGAAACGTAATATACCTCTCGATGCTCAATCGCTATTTCAATGAAGAGTGTTCAGAGGAACTACTCTTATTTCCACCATTCTCCAAATCTTCACGGCTAAAACCTGCTATGCCAAGCACATTGTATCGTACAATCCTCATCCCTTTCGTATTCTTCGGTGAAATATAAATTCCACTTGAATTGATTCATCCAAGGAAACTGCTGCATTGTGACAACGACTCCCAAGGAGATGCTTCCTCGATCACTACAATCTTAATCTGTTCAAGTCTTGAATTAACCGGTATCTTCAACACCTATCGGCATAAACTTACTTTGTAATCTTCTACTCTTGGGTCTTGTACATAGTGAAGACCATTGTAAAAATGTTCCTTAGTTATCTAGCACGTACGTTATACCCTGCCATTACCTCAGAAAAATAATAAATTATTCTTATTTGACATATAAGAATATATATATATATATATATGTGTGTGTGTGTGTGTGTTGATTAAATGGGAAAGAATTGATGATCCGAAGTTCTTTAGTATCATTGTTTTTATTTTTTTTAAAGTGCTCGATACAGAAGTAGAGCCTAGATTATAATTATTTTTTTATGAAAAACAAACCCTAGATGACCCCTCCATTTCAAAACTATAAATGAGTAAAACATTCCGTAGCATAGTTATTCCAAACATCGCTTGAGGATGAGACTGCCACCTGGTAGTTTAGGTTTAATATTGAAATTAAACCTGATTACTTCTGACCAATTTCGAAACATAGTAATTTCTGTGTCGCGATGGAATCATATTTGATATATATATATATATATATATATATATATATATATATATATATATATATATATATATATATAGTCTGATGAAGTCCTGAAGGACGAAAAG